GTACAGCAAACTCCCTAGGGGGTTTCTGAGGCTGTAAATCATTAAGGGAGCAGAAAGCCTCATCTTTCTCCCTCAGAGCAGCTGGTGGGCTTGAACCACCAACCTTGTGGTTAGCAGTATAATATTTACCTGATGATGCCACGAGAGTCGCTTAAATATGCATACACAATTATATTTACAATATTGGCAATCAATTACAGTAAAAGTTTTCTTCAGACATCACATAATTTTAGGCACTTTCTAACAAATGGATTTATGTGAAAGAAATCTGTTTTTTAACATAAAAATGATGCTCAAGAGGTTAAAGAAGCATACAAATATTTACACTAAACAAATGATTAGCTATTTGTTCTAAATAATAAATACAGACGAAGTAATAAAACCATGACTTGAAGGCATTTAGCCCATACCTTTTAGGGTATCTATTTTTTTCTTCAGCAGAGGGTGAACTGCCAGTCTGGCAATTGCTCTTTCAGTTGCAGTGGAATCTGGCTACAAATGGAAAAGGAAACAAATGAGAATAAAGACAGCTTTATAAAGACAAAAAGGAAAAAGAAAAATCAGCCTTCCAAATTAGAGTTAACCCAAACTCACTGCCATCACGTCAATTCCGACTCACAGCCAGTCTACAGGACAGGGTAGAACTGCTCCTGTGGGGTTTCCACACAGTAAATCTCGACGAGAGCAGAATGCCTCATCTCTCGCACGAGGTCTGGGTGTTGGTTCTGAACTGCTGACTTGGCAGTTAACACTTCAACAAATAATTCACTATGCCACCAATGGGAAAAGAAATTTGATAATATTTTCACTCTATAATCCATAACAAAAACAAATAAAAATCACATCAACAAAAATAATACCACTTCTTATGATGAAAGTTATCAAGTAATCAACTCAGAGAATATTCTTTGGAACAAAGAGCCTGGAGTATTTAGCTAAGGAAAATAAGTCACTATGAAAGAATTGGGTAACATTTGTGTTACTCAGGCTGATACAAGTAATTTGTGACTACCATAAGATTTAAGTTCTATTTAGTGCATACCTAAAAATGATTTATCTTTTAAAGTCTAATGTCATGGCTATATTTTTAGTACCTAACTAAAAATAGAGATACCTACATTTGATGGCATTTGAACAAGACTTTATGTTCTCCTTCATACACCCGTGAAACACCCAATCACAAGGAAACATCAAAAGATTTGTGGAAAAATGTGATAATTAATGTATTTATAAATTAAGAGAATTTAGACAATTATAAGTGTCAGCATGTTAACTGAAGATGAACTATACAATTATACAATTGAGTAGCCTTCTGTATTTTTTTAATGTCTTTATTTCCTATAAGCAATTTTTTAAAACTTTGGGAGTAGGAAAATGTCACTAATTTTTAACTTCCTTCTTTTGTGCTCTGAGTTTCATAGTGTAGCTTGGTTCTAATTATAAAAACAAAAAAACCCCAAACCCTGAGGACTTACTGAAAC